GCCAGGGGCCAGGGGCTGCCGGTGATCACAACGCGGAGCCTGTAGCTGACCAGAGGGCAGAGGCCGTGGCCGGCCAGGGGGCAGGGGCTGCAGCTGTCCAGAGGGCCGAGCCCACAGAGCATGGGAGGGAGGCGGCCCCCACTGTGGAGGGGGCAGCCGCTGCATCTGATGGGACACAGGCTACAGCTGACCAGGGGGCAGGAGAAGCTGCTCACCAGAGGGCAGAGGTCCCAGCTGTCCAGGAAGCCGAAGCCTCTGCTGCCCAGGGGCCTCCCAGGGCACCCCCGGGAGCTCGGGCTCGGAAACAGGTCAAGACAGTGAGGTTCCAGACCCCAGGGCGCTTTTCCTGGTTTCACAGGCGCCGGAGAGCCTTCTGGCACACCCCCCGGGTGCCAGCTCTGCCCGGGAGAGTCCCCAGGGCGGGCGAGGCCAGGAGCCTCAGGGTGCTGAGGGCTGAGGCTAGAGCAGAAGCGGAGCAGGGCGAGCAAGAGGACCCGCTGTGAGGTGGCGGTGGGCTGAGGGACCCCAACACCTGCCCAGTCAGCCCAGCGTGAGCCCCTCCCCACTGGGGCAGAGATGAGTGGAGGGAAGGTCAGGCACGCCCCTCCTCCCCGCCTGACACCCCTCTTTTTTTCTTGTTAAATTGTCCTGCATCGATTTTTAAAAAATACAGACTTTTTTTTTTTAATAGCAACCCAAGGAATGTAAACCCATGGGGGGGCACATTGCCCCCTCCATTCCAGGTGCTTGAGCAAGAGAGGGGGTGGGGGAGACATTCCTTTCCACCCCCCCTGTCCCCTGCACACCCCACATGGACTGCCTCCTTGAACTTAAAAGGGGGTGTGAGCCAACTTGCCAATAAAAGCATTTACAAACTCATTGCTTGGCTTTGCACTGGGCCATGGAAGGTTGGGGTTCCAGGGCGTTCTTCACCCCACCCTCCCCCGGTGACATCACTGCTGGCCAGCGGTCCAGAGCCGCCCTTTACACACATTCTGACCTTGCTTAAGGGGCACCCAGAAAGCTCCTGGGCAGCATGCAAAATGCAGGCTCGGGGCCAGGGCTGTGATTTGCCAGGGTGGCTGTGTGTCTCCTTGGCACAAATACTTGCTGGGGCAGCTTGGCCGCGGGGATGCATGAAGAAATCCTTGCAGTAGAGACAAGCCAAAAAGATGGGGGTACCAGGGAGGGGAGCTGACATGGGCTGTGATTGGGCGCCATAAGCTGGAGCCCTCCGGTGGCTCAGCACCCCTCCCCCCCGCCCACCAGAGAAAATCGAGTGACCCATGGCAGCCTTGAAGAAGGCAGGAGAAAAGGGAATCGGGGAGCCGGTGGTCAGTCTGTCTCTGCCAGAGCCTCTTCGTTTTCTCCCTTGCAGCTCAGGGCGCTCTCCCGCCCCGCCTGGAAGCGTCAGGCCAAGCTGCACTTGGTTCACAGCCCAGCGGGTGGAGGAAGACAGTGGACCCCAGGGGAGCGAGACTGGCTGGGAGGAAGTCTCCAGTTGGGGTGCAAGTGGGGGCTGCCCTGGCTGGGGCCCACCTGGGAGAAGAGCAGGCTGGTGACCTCCGGTCCAAGGCCTGTTGGGGCAGGAACACCTGGAAAAGAGGGGACTTCAGGCAGCTCTGTCCCCTGATCCGTTTTCAGTTTGTCCCCCCAATCCTGAGGGGTCCCTGGGGTAACCTAAGCTGCTGGATGATGGAAGAGAGTTTCAGATGGTTGCAATTTCAAGCCCAACCAGATCATCCAGGAGGAAACTGTTGGGATTTATTGGGTTAAAAGCTCAGTCTCTTTGGGCCCAGCAGATGGGGAGGGAACTTTTGAATGAGGGGGCCACTGAAGAGTTATCCTGGGCCCCCAGCTCTGGAGCTGGGGCCATAGAGGAACCAACAGGGTGTTACTGAAACAGGGTCGTGAAGCCCACCTGTGTGCATTTAAGGCTGACTAAATTCTAAAAACCTGCCAATTGGGCCTCCCTGCTGGTAGAGCATTATCAGGTGATGGCCAGCTGCTGTGACCTGAATTTGATCCCGGCCAGGGAGTGACCCCCAGGGCGCAGCAGACCTCTCCTGTCCCCCCTGCCCCCCTCAGCAGTGTATTTCAGTCGGTCTGGCTGTTCTGCTCCCCACTCTGTCTCTGGTGAGTCCCCTCACCCCCACATCTTTGATCTACACCCCAGCTCTTGTGTGCATAAATAAATAAACCTTCAAAAAGGTGTTTAGGGAAAAAAATGCTGCAGACTAATCACTCCTGACTAGTAGTCAGGACCTGTGTCTTCAATCAGAGCCTACAAACTTGGGGTGTGAGAAAGAGCCCAACTTCCCTTGTGGTGGCCAGGCCACACTTCCTCCTCTTCCCCCTGCTTCTCTGCAGTGTAAGTCAGGCTTTTCTACTTGCTCTACTGTCGCTGGGGAATCCTTTCACCCCTCAACCTCACATACCTTCTCTTGGCCCTCGATCTCCCTCTCATGGCAGAAGCCCCCAGAAAAAAGGAGTTTTGACACCAAACAGCCTTCATCTGGACTGGCCCAGCTGTCTCTCAACATCACCCACTTAGAAAGCAGCAAACACATGGAGGGGAGAGACAGCACCCCACCAGGAAAGCTTCCTGGGTTCCCATCCCAAGCCCCAGCAGGTATTCAAGAAGAGGAAACAGCAGCACAGTGTGAGCAGGGGCAGGAAGGGGCAGCCCGGCTCACTCCTGCACTGACACTAAGGCTGTGTGACCTTGAGCTGCTTGCTTCACCTCTCTGGGCCTCCACTTCCTCATCCAAGCAGGGATCCTGATAGAACTCCCTCCCCCATGGGTGAGGTTGAAGACAAGAAATCGGGCCCAGAGGCATCTTCTCCTCTCCTTCCTGGCCTCTATCAGGGGTGGCCAGTTCTTTCAAGACACCACTCAGCCCTGCTGGGTCCCAGATGACCGGAAGCTTTGACGCACTCCCTGCTCAGCCCCTGCCCTGGGAGACTGTCAGGCCTGCCCAGGGCCCCCGGATTCCTGCAGCTTCCCAGATGAATTCAGTGTGTCCCCTCCTTCCCAGGCAGGGAGAGCTGCTCCCCAGGGGTGGAGGAAAGGAGACCCCACAGCAGGGCTTCTCAAATGGCACTGGAATCACCTGGAAGGGCTTTTCAACGAGAGTCCTGGGTTCCAAGCTGGGGTGATCTGGCAGGGCTTGGGGGGAGTCACACTGTCTTTCTACCAAGTTCCAAGAAGGTGCTAATGTTGCTGACCCCAGGGCCTCACCAGCTGGGCCCCCGCCCTACAGAATCGTTCATGTGCCACTGCCCGGCGTTGAGGGACCAGGTGAAGTTTTGGCACCCTGAGGTGCTAGGCGGGTGCAGAACACGCTGAGAGCCAGGGAAACACCTGCGCCGGCTCGCCTGGAAGCAGCGGCCCTGGAGCGCCGCCTGGTGGGTGCGGCGGGTACAGCCGCTGTCGGGGCTTTCTCGCCCTTCTCCAGTCGGGGTGGGGGCGCGGGAGAGTGGCGCCCCCCTCGCGGTCGTTCTAGGACCTGACCATCTCCCAGAGAGCTCGGGGTCCCCTTTTTCCTTTCACCAGAGGGCCGCCCGCCGGCTTGGCAGAGAGCAGCCGTGAAGGGCGGAATTGGGCAGGGGTTTGGAGGAGTGGGGTGTACCTGAGCGTCAGTCTGGAAGGGCTGTGTGATTTTTGGGGTCCGCAGTAGGGCGTACTGTATGTTACCCCTCCCAGCCCTCTGAGCCTCAGTTTTCTCACCCGGGTGGGGAGGGATCAGGATGAAGCCTAATACACGAGGCATCTGAAGATCAAAGAAGTTAACCAACTGTCCAACATCCTCCGCTCTGACTCTGGTGAATCCTCTCACTTGTCCCCTGCACCTCTGGCCTACATCCTAGCTCTTGTATACGTAAATAAAATAAATCTTAAAAAAATAAAATGTGACCTCTGAGTCTGTGCAAATGTCTTGTCTTCTGGGTAAACTCACCTTCACTGCTGAAAAGGGAACCCAAGGACTCGCTCTCGAACCCCAAGTCTTTTTGAAAACTGCGTCAGGAAAGATGCAGCAGCCTGGGCCTGAGTGGGGTGAAGCCTGGGCCTTCCCTTTCAGGGGAGTCCCGGGCTTCACCCTGATTCCTCCCCACCGGGAACCCCCACCTCTGTTGGGGGCACCCCTCTCCCCCACCTCAGCCCCCAGCCTCCTCTGGGGGTCTCCCCTCCTCTGCTGGTTGCTTCCCATCCACCTTGTTCTTAGCTTAGCCTGCTCGGCCCTGCCCAGACCTATCGCTGGCTCCCTAGTACCTGGGGGATGGAGGGAACCCCTCACCGAGACCCAGGAGGCCCTGAAAGGACAGGTCTGGCCTCATCCCAGCCTGAAGTGCCAGGACTGGGTCAAATGCTGTTACTTCATCTCCCCCAGGATAGTACCCCAAAATGGCTCACAGCACTGCCCAGGACAGAAAAGGGGTTTGAGGAAGTTTGTTGAATGAAAGAATGAATTTACTCTTCTGCCTCATACGCCGGACACCCACCCCTCACCCCCCCAAGCCCACACATTTGTGTCTCTGTCTGCAAGGGGGAAAAAAACAATGGAAGTTAAAATAAGATAAAACAAAGGGGTGTTTATTTGGGGTCCTAGATTTGTAAATGCGAGAGCACCTATATAGGCAGCACCCCTTAATTGTGTCCCACTGGGGTCTCTAAGGTAAAGAGAAGTGGGTCGAATTGCAAACTTGCTTACTGAGGATTAGAATTGTTTATAGATGGCATTTCTTACAGGTCATGGGCTTGGGGGTCAAAGTGGCCTTGGTTACCAGAAAGAGAGAGAAAATTATTTCTGTGCAGCTCAAGAAGTCCGTGTTAAGTAGAGAAATAGATTCTGCCGATCAGGACTGGGTCTTCACAAGCTAAAAGTTGAGCAAGATGGAGTCTGAGGTGCAAGATGGAGTCAATTCAGCTCACCTGCAAGTATCCCTTCTGCCCACTAGAGGGCGCGCTGACCCAACAAATATCTCGTCAGCGTCTCTGCCATTTCCTGACGGGCCTGGCGGGAATCCCACCCTGCTCTTGCAGCCCCACTGCCTGTCGAGTTCAGACCGAGCCCGCATCCCCCCCCCCCGCCCCCCACACACACCTGAGCTCTACCCCAATGGCGCTGGATGAGACCCAGCCAAGACAGAAGAAAGCAAGGTTCAGAGAGGGTGTTTGATTTCCCTAAGTCACACGGCATCTAAGCAGCAGAAAAGCTTCCAGTCCCAGCCTCCGTGACTGCTCCCCTGTTGCTCTGTTCTTTGCCAAGGTTCCCCAAAGAAATGGCGGTGACCTGGTACTGGCCCTTTTGATGGGGGGGTGCTCAGATAGTGGGTTCCCAGTCCCCACCCCTACAGAACTTGTGTGCTGTAGGGGCGATTTTCCATCTCCTCTGGTTCTCCAAGTTACTGGATAAATTGTTTTATAGTTTGGGTCACTGGGCAGGAGGTGGCAGAGCTGGGGCTACCTTGAGGAGGCACCCCATTACAGGAATGGGAGGTGAGACTTCCGGACAGGAAGGGGAGTAACTAACCGGCGTGGTCTGCCCTGTAGCACAGGTGAAGGAGAGCCGGGTTGAGCCAAGGATGGGGTGCTCCTCTCTGAGAGGTTCAGGGGAGCCCAGGAGCCGTGAGGTCTGTAAATTCTTGATTTTTTAAAATATTTTTAAAATTTTATTTATGCATACAGAACTGGGGTGCAGGCCAGAGGTTGGGGGCAGTAAGAGGATCCACTAGAGACAGTGGGGAGCAGAACAGGTGGATTGACTTAAACACTGCTGAGGGGAGCAGCGGGGAGACCGGAGAGGTCTGCCGTGCCCTTTGGGTCACTTCCTGGCCGGGGATGGACCTCGTGCTGCAGCGGCTGT